GCCTCCAGGTACTGCAGCGCCTACGGGACCTGGGCCATGGCTCGCAGCATCAACAAGACCTGGGCCAATTACACGGAATGCGCTCTGCTCTTCTCCTCCGAGAGCCGGAGCCGCGAGAAGGTGACCTTGCTCATCGGAGGTGCTGAGAAAGGCAGTCGGGATGGGGACGAGGGGGGTGCGCAGCAAAGGCCAGGGGAATTGCTGGGAGCAGGGGGCTCTTCCCGCTCCGCTCCCCAAACAAGCCCTGCTCCTCCCGTGCTCTCAGCCCAGAGGCTGGGGGCAGAGAGGGGAGCCTGGGCTGCCGAGGGGTGGTGGAGCACAGCCCTTCTCTTCCAGGAGGTGTTTGACCGGCTGCACCTGATGTACACCGTCGGCTACTCCCTCTCCCTGGCCTCCCTCGTCATCGCCGTCTGCATCCTCTCGTACTTCAAGTAAGGAGGAGCCGAAGCCCCATCCTTGCGTGTGGGAGAACCGTCCTCCCCCACTGCCCGCACACACAGCCCCCCGGAGGGGGAGCAGCCCTTTAGGGAATGGGAACCAGCCCCAAACCCCACCACAAACATCAGACCCTTCCCCAAAGCCCCCAAACACCCCCATTGCTTTGATTCCTCCATATGACCAGTACCGCAGCTCCACCCCGCGTTGACACCCCACTTGCCCAAGGGAGGGCTGACACCTCGGAGCTCTGGGACCCCTGGGGCCTGAGCCCCTGCGATGCACGGCAGCGGGGGCTGGGCTCGTGTCGCACCCCTTCTCCACAGGCGCCTGCACTGCACGCGCAACTACATCCACGTCCACCTCTTCGCCTCCTTCATCTGCCGGGCGCTGAGCATCTTCGTGAAGGACATGGTGCTCTACTCGGGGACGCTGGCCAGCGACACGAAGATGCAGGAGGATGACATCAAGGCAGAAATGGGTCCCTCGCCAGGACAACGGAGCCACCTGGCAAGTGGGACGCCGAGACCGGAGGCAGGATTCCTGGTGCAAGGGGATGCGCTTGGGAGCCTCCCGCATCAGGGCTGTGCTGCTCGGGGTGGTATCGGGGAGGGGGAGGGATGACCTACAGCTCAGCCCAGCAGCTCCCCGTCCTGGTCCCACAGAGAGATCAGAGCCACGGAGGACACAGGTCTCGCCACCTGTCTGAGCTCCGGGGCCCTGGTGTGGGAATGCCTCTCCTACGGGCAATACCCGGAGCACCTGCTCTGCTGCTGGTGCTGGAATAGCCCAGGGGAGATGTAGCTCCCCGCAAGTGGAGGAACGTGAGCTGTGGGGCACAGCTGTGGGTGCTGGCCAGAGAGCAGGGGTTTTGCTTTCAGGGGCAGCCCAATTCAGGCATCTCTCTGACTATACCCCCGCAGGTTGGCTGCAAGGTGGTGGTGACTCTCTTCCTCTATTTTCTGGCCACCAACCACTACTGGATCCTGGTGGAAGGTCTCTACCTGCACAGCCTGATCTTCATGGCCTTCCTCTCCAACAAGAACTACCTGTGGGTCCTCGTCATCATCGGCTGGGGTAAGCGTGGACCCCAACCCCGTGCTGGGGCCGCTGAGCCAGCTGGGAGCTGCGGCCTCAGCCAGGGTTGAGCAGCACTGAGGGCCCAGATCAGGGCAGGGGGATGCAGACGAGAGGCCTGGAACTGGTTTGATCCACCAACGTGATGCTTCATCCACGGTCTTCACTCTGCTTCCTGCCCCTCCAGGCCTCCCCGCTGTGTTTGTGTCTGTCTGGGCCAGCGTCAGGGCCTCCCTGGCAGATACGCAGTACGTAGATCCGCCTTCTCCGACGGCCCTTTGGGGAGGGAAAGGCTGGCTGCAAATGCCAGCAAAACAATCTGTGGGGACCAGAACGTTTTGAAATGAAAATTTCCCCAAAAGAACAAGAGGCACCAAGTGTGTACGAGGCTTGTTCATCCAACTGTCAGTCATCCAGACCAACAGAGGTTTTGTTCTGCATTTGGGAGGAAGCTGGATGCAGGTTTACACCATAACTCGATCAATAAACACTGCAAAGAGAAATGCTAAAGGGCGTGTTCCAAAGTTAAGCGTTTTAAAAAGAGAAAAGCCGCAGAATGGGCAGGCAGAGTTTTCGATTAACCTCAGGAAGGTTAATGCTGATTTAAAACGGACTGGCAACACGACGATGGTTATGGACGGCTGTCGGGTCAAGGCCTACACGAACGCCACAAAATTCCCACCCAGGGAGGGGAAGGGCGGGAGGCTGGGGGACGGGGAGGAGGCTGGGGGA